CAAATTCCCTTAAGCCCCAGCCAGCATGGCAAATGGTCAGGAATTATGGAAGCTTGTAGCCTTTCTCAACCTTGGGTCCCCAGATGTTTTTGGCCTACAACTCCCATCATCCCTGACCACTGGTCCTGTGAGCTAGGGATCAAGGGAGTTGTAGGTCAAAACATCTGGAGACCCAAGGTTGAGAACCACTGGAGCACATCTGAAAGGCACCAGGTGGTTTAGCACGTTTAAAAACCTACTGAACAAAGCAACATATCCATCAAACAAAATATAGCTGTGCTGATATCCTAGTGCCTTCAAAAAGCAGCCCATGTAACAACATCTCTCACCGTTCCTAAAAACTAGCTGCATTTTGGCTTGGAGACTCATTATTTCTACTTTTTTGGAAGCACAGCTTGCAATGTGTTTCCGTTTGCCTATGCTGTTTGCCCAGGGCACGTAGATATATAATGCTTTTGTTTGAACTTATTGTGAGTGCGTGGTATCTTCCAGAGACCCTGTTTTTCTTGATTATTTTTTTAATAAATTCTAAGCACTGTACAAAATAGAAGCAACAACAGACAACTTAAACAAAACATTACAAAAATACACAGTAACATATAAAAATGTTACATTAATACAAAGTTACTATTATACATATGTAAATCAATATCAGTTCATTCTCCTTTGGGCTACCTCCCACTCTCAGCCTCCAAAAAACCCTCAGCTCATTCACAAAAAAGAAGAGTTCAGCAGACATCACCCATACTTTACTGACTGAGCTATCTAGACTTGCTTTTTATGGGCAGGCACAAGGTGGATGGCACTTCCTCAGAATGCCCACGGCTGTGTCCTATTCAGCTGTACTCTCCACACATCGTTCCAGGTACAGCAAGTTGTTGAGTTTCCCAGGGGGTCCAAAGGATGGGAAACACCCTTGTGCACTCACAGTCCCCCCCCCTCCTCTCCTCTTTCTCCAGCTGCTCTATTTATGCTGGAAATGTATAGGCGTGTTACTAAAACTGTGATCTGATGGCTTTTTAAATATTTTAAGTTTAATTTTGTATAATTTTATTGGCACCTGCAGATTGCTTCTCAGCCCTAAGCATTGTTAGGGTGCAGTTATAAATCTAAAAACAAAAACAAATATCTAGGGTATCTTCAACACCCTTTTGATTTATACTTTTTTTGTGTACACAGTAGTAATATATGAAGACCCCTTAGAATTTATATGATAAAAATGTTGACACGTTGCTGAAGAATACATTTTCGAATACCTCTTTAGTATGGATAACAAATGGAGAATGATCCTTGATGTCCATGGCTCTCTCCACCACAAGATGTCAAGTGGATATTGTATGCAGTCACCTTTAGATGCATGAAGCTGAGGTTGCTGAGAGCTTTAGAAGCTATAAAAAACCACTGTGGGTACTCTGAACCACTTTAATAAAGTCCAAGTGACCCAGCTCTTCAGGAAGTGGCTTACCTTCTATAGTCTGTGCAAACAAAAAATTCTGAACATTTGTGTAATGCAGCCCAATTTATATTGGTTGAAGGCATTTATGTTCTTTTGAGATGTGTGGAAGGTTATATTTATTTATAAATGCCGGCATATACACCTCTTTGTAATGTGAGAATAGTCTTGTGTGTTGTTGAACCTTTTCTTGCTGTGTGCCATGCTTTCAGATCTTCAGAGTGTGCTTCTTTGATGTTTGTTCCTGAAAGGATAAGGAAAGGGCAGAGGGAAATAATGCTTGCCTTCTGGAAACACCATATGTCACTGGATAAATGAGGACTTCACATTGACAAGGGCTACAGTGTGGGATAATCTGCTGCGGAATTTAATTCAGCAGTATTTATGGTAGAGGTGTGCAGTCGGAATCTGAGCAAAAGTATTGCATCATGCAATATATGGATTGGTTGGGTTTGGTGAATGTGCAAGACGATTCACTGATTGAAATGCCACACATGATCGCTGTGCTTTTAATCAGATCTTTGGAAGAAAACCCCCCTGTGCACATTCGTTTTCTTTCCCAGAGGAAAATTATAGCTGATGAAGAGTTAGAGGATTTATGAGGGTGCCAAAGCATATGGCAGATGGGCTGGATTAGGACTCGGGAGTACCGTAATCCAAATCCTTGTTGCCAAGTATTATAAAGAACTCTGCCTCCTGCTGGGCTCTTCTAAATTTATAGCCTAAAAAGCAAGGGCTGCAGATACCGAAAATAAAAGTACTGTTTATAGAGCTGTTCCCTAAATTAATGTCTGGATAAACAACTCTTTTGGCTTTTCCACTCCAATCATTATCCTACCCTCACTGAAATTTATTACAAAGCACCATGTTATGAGCTACTAAGAGTGGTGATGTGTTTGTAGGTTGTGTTTGGAAATGGTTTGAGATACGCACTGCCCACAATATTAGGTTTGACACTTCATAAAGCAGCTTGTTTTGATGTGAAGGCTGTCTTGATTGAGATCAGTGTCTTCCTGAGTCTGCATCATTCTTTGTCCCATCTCCACCCTGAAATCACCATTGGAATTTGTTTTTTTAAGGCCATGACTTCCATTCTTTTTGACAGAAGTGGATGAAATTTGCTTCCTCGGTCCATGTGGCTGGAAACAGTCCCACAAATCTACAATCCTATATTGTGAAGCATCAGGGGAAAAGCATATAATAAAGGGATTCAACCTAAGCATTAGTCAAGGGTGCCAACTTAAATTTAAAAAAAATTGAGGGGTGGGGGGGAAGTAAGCCCTGCCCCACATAATCAACCACATGACTTGGCACAGATAAACATCATTTAGAAGACATCAAGGGAGTTTTTAATGTGTGACATTTTAATGTATTCTTAATCTTTGTTGGAAGCAGCTCAGAGTGGCTGGGAAAACCCAGCCAGATGGGCGGGGTACAAATAATAAATTGTTGTTTGTTGTTGTTGTTTATTTATTTGAATGGCAATGCCCATTAATTTTGGCAGGGTTCTAGAGCCCTTACGCCTCCTTCCCAAAGCTGGGCAAGTGCTTGCAGAACTTTGGGAAGTAGGTGAGAGGGTTCTAGGACCCTGCCAGAGCCCTCCTGACTCCTTCCCAAAGCCAAGTAAGGCACCCTCCACCTTGTGGGGTCTGGTTCCAGGGGTTCCAGGCTTTCCAGTTTTTGTGTATACACCTGGATCCTCAGAACCAAGCCCTGTATAGCTGAAGGAGCATCTCCACCCCCATCGCCCAGCCCAGACACTGAGACCCAGCTATGGGGGCCTTCTGGCAGTTCCCCCACTGCAAGAAGTGAAGTTACAGGGAACCTGCCCTGTGGAATGCCCTCCCATCAAATGTAAAACAGATAAATAACTATATGACTTTTAGAAGACATCTGAATGCAGCACAGTATTGGGAAGTTTTTAAATGGTTTATGTTTTATTACATTTTTAATATTTGTTGGGAGCCTCCCAGAGTGGCTAGGGCAGCCCAGTCAGATGGGCGGCATATAAATAATAAAATGATGATTATTATTACTTGTATTGGTTCCAATAGCTCCTTAGTATGTTCAGAATTCTCCGCCCCCGCTCCCCAAACTCGCAACTTTCTGCACTTTCCTGACTTTTAGAAGAGCTTTTGTCAAGCAACATATGCCCTGTTGTTAGGGAAGGCAATTTTGTCACATGCTTCCTGCCACCTTCACGCTTACAATGTTGGACTTGAAACTGCTTCTCTCTAGTTTTGCTACAGTTCTACAGTATGCTGGAAAATGTGATATTCCAAGTTTCAGTATTGCATAAAATGGTCAATCACAGATGCACGTGTAACCTTTGCTAGTGCTGGCACCAGGGTTACCAACGCATCTTTTGAGTTGTGGTTCCTTCTTAATTTTGCTAATTGTACTCTGTATTGATTCCACAAGATATACTGTAGCAGCATATTCTAAAATATGCTGATGGTCAAAGTTTTCTCTTTCACAGTCTTCATTTAAGAATCTTGGGAGAGAAGCAGACATTCTTAAGCATGGTGTATTTATGCATACTTTGTGGCTCATAACATTATCTTGTGTTATGGTTGGCATGCTGGAGATTATTAGGAAGGCTTCCAATCTAAAACTATGGAAAGCTCAGTGAACACCTAAGCAATATGTAAGCACTGAGGATGATTGGGGGGGGGGGAGGGATGCTAAAGCAATTTCTGCAATTTCAGAAGCCAGAAAAACCACACGCAGAAACCAAATAATTGACCAAGATATACAGCATGAATATGATGAGCAGTTCAAGCAAATGTCAAGCTATTACTGCCTACCATAAGTAAACTAAAGGCATGCTTTAAAGTGCACTTGTTGTAGCTAGTTTGCTCATGTCTTTGACCTTTGGACCCCGCATAGCAGCTCAGTATAGCTGAAATTGCTATTTTGAATGGAGCTCCAGATCGTCCCTGGAGGGAAAAAGAAATGGAAGAGAGAGAGAGAGCGCGCACTATGGGGAGGATTCTGGAGAGAAACAATTTTACGTGTCCTTTGAAAAAAAGTGTATTTGATGTCCAGGCTAAAGCAGAGACTGGAGTTAATGAATGGGAAAGGAGCGACAGATTTTCAGTATGCTGATTGCAACTGTATTATTACAAGTGTGAGTTTAGATTGCTCCTTGTGCAATTGAAATTCTGGTAGCTTCTTTGTGTAAGGCAAAAAGCAGATTAAGCAAAGTGTGATGAAATCACATGACCATTTCATGCACATGCCAGATGCTCACATGCAGAATCAAATCATGCAAGTGGCACACGCACACACAAAAAAGGTGGAAAATTTGCAAGATAAGACAGTATTTCTATTTTTATAACAGTGTAGCTTCTGGTTTACAACAAACGTTAGTGATGGACAAGCAATTCTATAAAAGCATTTAGACATAATAGATTGTACTGGAAAAGCTTGTAGGACTGTATAGTTTCTTTAGGTAAGGTTTTTAAAAGCTCACAGAAGCAACTTCAGAATCCCCAAAACCAAAATATGAATGTAATTTTATTTATTGTTCTTTTTTCCCTTTCAGCGGAAGAATTTACCCCTTCTTTTGAGCATTGGTTTATTGATCTTCTGGGGAGCTTTGCTACTAGGTCTTCGCTTTTATTGGATGGGGAACAAACCTCCCAGCTTTTCCAACTCTGACAACCCAGCAGCTGACTCGGAGAGTTTTCTAACACGAACCTTGACCTTTTTTTACCTGCCAACCAAAAATCTTTGGCTATTGCTGTGCCCGGACACTCTTAGCTTTGATTGGTCCATGGATGCTGTGCCTCTTCTCAAAACAGTCAGTGACTGGAGGAACCTACACACAGTGGCCTTTTATGCTGGACTTCTCCTCCTTGCTTACACCGGTTTGAAAAGCTCCAGCAAAGAGAGAGAATGCAATGGGAAAAACATAACAAATGGCAAGCAGAACACCAATGGCCATAACTGCCTATCAGAAATGGAGTATAAAAGCTTGGAGTTGAAGCCCAGCTTTGTATCTAAAGAAGAAAACGGCATTAACAAACACTTGCCGCAGAGACCGCAACTCCCCTCAACTGAGAATATTGTAGTTCTGTCTCTGTCCTTATTAATTGTGCCCTTTATTCCGGCCACAAACTTTTTTTTCTATGTAGGCTTTGTGATAGCAGAGCGTGTCTTGTATATACCTAGTATGGGCTTCTGCCTGCTGATCACTGTGGGCACTAGGTCCCTCTACATCAAAGCCCAAAAGCGCTTTCTGAAGAACTTGATTTTTTTTGCCACAGCTGCATTAATATTTTTCTATGGACTCAAGACTTTTGTCAGGAATGGGGACTGGCAGAATGAAGAGATGCTGTATAAGTCAGGGATAAAAGTAAATCCAGCTAAAGGTAATGTTCTCTATTTTGTTTTGTTATGTTAAAAAAATCCACTGTCTATAATTCTATTTTCCCTTTCTGGATTGAACACTTAGGATATGGATCCTACATGTGCATTTAAATACACAAGTCGCAGGGGTCAGCAAACTTTTTCAGCATGGGGCTGGTCCACTGTCCCTCAGACCTTGTGGGGAGCCAGACTATATTTTTGGGGAAAATGAACGAATTCCTGTGCCCCACAAATAACCCAGAGATGCATTTTAAATAAAATGACACATTCTACTCATGTAAAAACACGCTGATTCCTGGACTGGATTTAGAAGGCGATTGGGCCGGATCCGGCCCCCAGGCCTTAGTTTGCCTACCCATGCACTAGTGTATAGTAGTATACCATACAAATAGTACAGTCATATAGAATATAGACTTGTTTTGATTCCATATTAAGAGGAATCATTTTAGCATGCAGTAAAAACAACCACAAAAATGTTTTACAAACATTTCACATATCTAACAAACTATGCTATAATGAATTGCTACTTAATAAGCAATACAGACAGGCCCCCCAGTTTACGCACTTAAAATATGCGCACAGTCGTGTATATGTGCATTGCACCGAACCTGGAAGTGACCCAGAAACATCAAAAAGAAATCACTGAAACATCACTAAAAGGGTGGGGTGGGGCAGGATAGGGTGGGGCAGAACGGGGGCAGAACAGGGTGTTTGCAGGCATTTTCAATGGGTTTTGATTATATGCGATTTCACTGAGGCACATGGTTCCTTGGAACATAACCCCCATGTAACCCTCTGCCTGTATGAACATGTTTTAACTTTGTCTTTGATTCAGATATTTGAATCTATTTCCACAAGTGAAGAAAAGTTTGGTAATTACTGGGGTGTCTAAAACATGCGAATCAGATCAACTTCCCCCCCTTTTCTTGTTTTCCTTTGATTATGGCCAAACTTGAAACTTGAAAAAGACAGCCAATATAGATATTTAATATTAGTGGTACTGTCCTTTTGACATTTACAATGAAACATCAGTATTGTTACATAAACAGTGTGATTTATTCTCAGCTCCCTGATGAAACATCTCTCTGTTGCATTTTCCAGGTATTTGAAATGTTAGGAAAATCTAACCTGTTAATAGCTGCATATCTGAACGAACAGCCTGTCTTTGTTTCACATGGTGTGTGGCCGCAGCAGTGCACCTGGGAAATTTAGGTTAGATTTAAGCAAATTCAAAATGGCTTGTATGTAAGAAACAGTATTATTTTCAAGCATACTGCAGGACTTGGATCTGCTGATTGCTATTTGTAGCGAAGCAAGCTACATTTAGCAATAAAGTTTTATAAATTGCAGCTTAAAAATGCAGACTAGGGGTGGGGAAATGGGTGCTGAGGTGCATAGTGTTATTATCCTGTTGTAAATAACAGTCCAGTATTTCAGAAACAAATGGATGTGAAGCAAAGGTTGCCTTCCTTTGATGGGAAGAGGCTTTCTGTTGGAACCTTTGGGTTCAACCCATAATGTTTAGAAAGTTTATCCCCTTTAGAAGAACTTCAGACCTCTGTATTAGTTTTCTGGCAACATTACTCATCACATTTGATAGCATCATGAAATTATCTGGCACTCCTGAAACTACAGTTACATAGCAAAATATGAGACAAATCAGATTCAGTGATGTTCATAGAGGCTACCAAAACTTGGAAACGTTCTCTTCTCTTCAGCTCTTTCACATTCCTAGACACACTTTTTCATATCTACTTCCTGTGGTTCCATTATTATAGCAGTGGAAACAGCAAATATGTACATGGAAGAATATAGTTCCTGCTGTTGTATATAGACACAGCCACACAACAGTATGTTTTTCATGTCCATAAGGGATTTCAGACTATTGTGAACGTAGCACTCAATTCTGACCAGTTTTGGCTGTTATGCAGATATGTACCGTATTTTTCGCTCCATTGGACGCACCTGACCATAGGGCGCATCTAGTTTTTAGAGGAGGAAAACAAGGAAAAAATATTCTGAATCAAATGTTGTATAAACTACTGTATTTAATAAACAACTGGTATATCAGAATCACATTACAGCCATGTAAAGTGAACAGTAGTCAACAATGGCATTAAGAACCATCATCACTGTCATTAACAAATGAAGAGAGACTTTTAAGGTTTGAGTACTCTTCTAGTCTGTGAACCCCAAGAACTCATCACTGCTAAAGTCAGAATTTATGAAGCTCAGTTGCTCACAGTCAGAGACATCACTTTCTTCGCTATCTTCATGTAAAATACCATCTTCGTATCCATCCAAAGCATTGCTAATGCCACATTTTTTCCTCTCAATCCTCTTCCTCCCCTCTCTCAGCGAACAGCCTGCCAGCTGCTCGCAAACATTCCCTTTACTTGAATTACAGTCAAGAAACAGCCAAGCAGAGCTTCTCAGTAGCAGGCTTGGGAGGCTTTCCTTTTCCCCACATTTTTCTCTCCCCCCCCCAGCAGAACAGCCCCCTTTTCCAGCCTCCTCCTCTCCATCCCTTTCACCCAAACTCCTCAGGTGACGTCTACAATTTCTCCCCTTCACTGCTCCCTCTCCTTTGCCCTCTACCATGACTCTCCACTCACGGCAACCTATGGTACCTCATCTCCCTTCACCCAGCTTCTTGGTCCCCCTCCTCTCCGTCCTCTTCCTCCCCTCTCTCAGTGAACAGCCTGCCCGCTGCTCCAAACCTTGAGGGGAAGGGCAGGCTGCTGGCAGAGCAGCACCCCCCACCCCCATTCAGCAGCCCTGGAGCGTGGGGCATGGGCGCACAGCCTGCCCACTGCTCCAAACCTTGAGGGGAAAGGCAGGCTGCTGGCAGAGCAGCACCCCCCACCCCCATTCAGCAGCCCAGGAGTGTGGGGCATGGGCGCACAGCCTGCCCACTGCTCCAAACCTTGAGGGGAAGGGCAGGCTGCTGGCAGAGCAGCACCCCCCACCCCCATTCAGCAGCCCAGGAGTGTGGGGCATAGGCGCACAGCCTGCCCACTGCTCCAAACCTAGAGGGGAAAGGCAGGCTGCTGGCACAGCAGCACCCCCCGCCCCCATTCAGCAGCCCAGGAGTGTGTGGGGCATGGGCGCACAGCCTGCACACTGCTCCAAACCTAGAGGGGAAAGGCAGGCTGCTGGCACAGCAGCACCCCCCACCCCCATTCAGCAGCCCAGGAGTGTGGGGCATGGGCGCACAGCCTGCCCACTGCTCCAAACCTTGAGGGGAAAGGCAGGCTGCTGGCACAGCAGCACCCCCCACCCCCATTCAGCAGCCCAGGAGTGTGGGGCATGGGCGCACAGCCTGCCCACTGCTCCAAACCTAGAGGGGAAAGGCAGGCTGCTGGCACAGCAGCACCCCCGCCCCCATTCAGCAGCCCAGGAGTGTGGGGCATGGGCGCACAGCCTGCCCACTGCTCCAAACCTAGAGGGGAAAGGCAGGCTGCTGGCACAGCAGCACCCCCCAACCCCATTCAGCAGCCCTGGAGCGTGGGGGATGGGCACACAGCCTTCCCGTTGCTCCAAAGGTGCAGAGGGAAGCCGAGGCTGCCGGCAGACGAGCGAGGCTCTCCCCTCCGCCTCCATTCAGCAGCCCAGAAGCGCGGGGCAGGGGCGCACAGCCCTCCCGTTCCTCCAAAGCTTCCCAGGGCTGCAGGGGGAAGCCGAGGCTGCCGGCAGGGGAGTGCGGCTCTCTTTCCCCGCCCCCATTCAGCAGCCCAGGAGTGCGGGGCAGGGGCGCACAGCCCTCCCCTTGCTCCAAAGCTTCCCAGGGCTGCAGGGGGAAGCCGAGGCTGCCGGCAGGGGAGTGTGGCTCTCTCCCCCGCCCCCATTCAGCAGCCCAGGAGTGCGGGGCAGGGGCGCACAGCCCTCCCCTTGCTCCAAAGCTTCCCGGGGCTGCAGAGGGAAGCCGCTGCCGGCAGGGGAGCGTGGCTCTCCCGCCCCCCCCCGCCCCATTCAGCAGCCCAGGAGTGCGGGGCAGGGGCACACAGCCCTCCCCTTGCTCCAAAGCTTCCCAGGGCTGCAGAGGGAAGCCGAGGCTGCCGGCAGGGGAGCGCGGCTCTCCCGCCCCCCCCCCATTCAGCAGCCCAGGAGTGCGGGGCAGGGGCGCACAGCCCTCCCGTTCTTCCAAAGCTTCCCGGGGCTGCAGGGGGAAGCCGAGGCTGCCGGCAGGGGAGCGCGGCTCCACCACCACTACCAAAGACCAGTCCAAGAGTGTGCCGCACTCCGACAATTTGGCCCCAGGGACCACACATTCGCTCCATAGGACGCACAGACATTTCCCCTTACTTTTTAAGAGTAAAAAAGTGCGTCCAATGGTGCGAAAAATACGGTACATTTTTCTCATGAAGTGAAATGCCTGAGCTGTTCCTGCATCTTATGTGAATGCATTTTGTTTCTGGAGAAATTGTTAAGTTTCTACTTCAGATATTCCTTCAGAAGCAAAAAAGAAAGGAGAACAAACATAGTTTTTGCATCATTTTGTGCATCAAGCTGTTTGCTTGCTCATGCATAATGTACATATATGTGCTGGACAGAACCCTTGATGAATGAATCAGTTTTGAGAAGATGGGAGAGTAAACAGGTTGGCATTTCCGTTCCTTTATGTTTGATAGTAATATCAGATTTATATTTTCTGGGCCCTAGGGGGTAGGTAGATATCGCTTGTTTTTCCTTAAGAAAAAAACAAAAGATTTAACAAAAATATCTTCCCATACTAGCTGCCCAGCCTAGCAATTGATACTTCTTGAAGAAAAGATGGGATATATATGTAATCATAGATAAATGCAATGCTTGTTCTCCACTCAATCAAACAGAGAAATCAAGCCAGTAAATAATTTGTTGACAAGTAATGCACAACTAGCAATGACTCTTAAGTGAAATGGCACTAACAATTTATCTATGCTGTCTTCCAGATGTTTTTCTGTATTACCACTCCTGTTTCCCAGGATTCTTTGGGGGATTCCACCACTGTTTAAAGTGGTAT